TGTTGACTTCACTGTTTACTTTTATATATGCTCTATCTCTGATATTGAGCACTTTATCCCATAAATATAGCATTCCTTAAAACCATATTTCTTCATTATATATATATATATACATACACGCACACACATTTATTATATATATATATATATATATATATACACACATTTGTTAATATATTTATATATACACGCACACACATATTTATTATTATTATATACATACACATTTGTTATTATATATATATATATATATTTTGTTAATATATTTATATATACACGCACACACATATTTATTATTATATACATACACACACATTTGTTAATATATTTATATATACACGCACACACATTTATTATTATTATTATATACATACACACATTTGTTATTATATATATATATATATATACACACACTAGTTGATTTCAATTAGATTCTTTTTCTTTTCATCACTTTTGATATTAGATATTCCACAATAGAAGATCTGCCAGGAATGGTGAAATGTTGTAAGAGCAAGGGCCCCACCATTGCTGGCAGATCTATTATCTCTTTGGAAAGTATCTGTCCATTTTGAATGTCTTGAGAACTGGTTGAGCAGCCTTGATGTAATTTGGCAATCAATTAAAGAGTGAACTTTACTGAGCAAACACTTTCCAATCGGTTTACTCAAATGTAATTGAAATACCATTTAGTGAGTTTATATATTGCGTAACTGTCATATTCACAATAATGTCTAATGGCAAAATATTTCATCTGTTAATCCACCTACACTCCAGATATAGGTTCCTGTGAATTTTAAATTTTCCTCAAAGCTAAAAATGTCATTAAAAAGAGATTTCAAACTGTGGGCAAGATAAAAGAGAGCAAAACAAAGCAACCATGTACTCTGCCAAAAGTGGATGTGTGTGTGCAGTACCAAGAACCTACCTTAAAATGAACTAAAGAGCCATTGTCCTAGGTAGGATATTTTTCATTAATAAATGAAATATATATGCAAGTACAGTCAAATAGTATTTAAACAGCCAATTAAAAATACAAAGGTTACGAACACATATTGTCAGTTTAGTCCAAATTCTTGCAGCTAACAGAATGTATCTTTTACCTTCATCAGTGCTATGGATATTTTTTTTTTTGTCATTTTATCCCAAGCAATAAAGCCACTAAGACACAAGGAGTTACTGAGTGTGAAAGAAACTGAAAAAACATTGTTGAGGAGAGATGACAATAAAACAAGATTCATGGAGACAAAAGATAACTAACATTGCATTTAAATCGTTGAAAAATCAAAGTTGGCAGGAAAACAAAAAGAAAGAAGTATAAGAGAAGAAACTATTAGCAAAGAAGTTATGGTTACATTCAGTAATTTCAGCAGTAAAATGATGAGACCTCACTTCCAACCTAGTACTACACTTAAATTCATGAAGTCCAGTTACAAATGAAGAATGCTTATCAGAACAATTTCCATGAATATATTTATAGAAAAATCAAAGGTGAGTTATGTTACTTTAGTGGGAAAGTAACTTAACCCATGATACCAGATTAGGACTGATAACATTGCAGATTCTTCTTGTAAATAAAATTACTAGTTTTGTTCGACTACCTGTAATTTTGATCTGTTATTACAATATTAGAACATGGATATAACAAATGTGTTATTTAATCACAGCATTTTACTTACCAGCATCAATAAGTGTTAGATCCAAAGCCAAACTCTTTTATAAAATTAATATTCATAGTAAAACAATATTACATAAATTACTATCCATCCTCTTTGTCCTCATAATCTTCACTTCCTCTTTCATTCATATCACGTATCACATTCATCATAACCATTTTAACAGTAAACCTCTATCCAGAGTGGCTCTCGAGCCTAGGATTAAGTGAACTTTGGCAGATTGATTGATTGGTATTTTAAGGTTTATCAGCCTTTTGCACATTATTTAAAGCCAGAAAATATTTTAAGATAAGAATTTTTAGGAGATAATGATTTTTACTGATACAAGTTCTACTAATTAACATAGCTGTGGGGAGATGAGGTTGATTTCCCAGAGATATATGCATGTAAGTGAATATAATGAACCCGACTGGAATTGAAACTTGGTTCTCGAATTCCAAGTTGTTATCCATTACATCACCCACACATCCAAACTTACAACACTTGGCATTACCAAGGTCACCCATCTAGGTACTGACCAGGCTTAACTTCTGTGATCATACGAGTACTAGGGTTTCAACATAATATGACTGTAAACCTGAACTTTAGCAGAAAAACAAAAACAATTTCATACAGCAGCAATATAAAATTATTGATTGATTTCTTTTTCATGGTTTATCAAACTTTTTTTTAATTTAAATAACAGCCATTTTTCTAGATACAAGTCCTACTATTTAACCCATAGCTGGGAGGAGGAGATGGAAATTATAAAATTAACACAAATTTTAATAAACTATAGAACTATTGAAAAGAAATCTATTATATCATAATTATTTGTCTTAAATGATTTTCACTTTTGTATGGTGATGAGCAAAGAGCTACACTGGTGGGAGTATTACAGCATACACATGGAGGTTGTGCCATTTTGGACAGAGAAATCTATCACATTATCAATTTACAATCAACTGGTGAATCACACTCAATGCCGGAAATGCCACGTCTTCTAGAATTGCCTATTTTCCCCAAACTGAATTACTGCTACCGGCTCTACCATTGGCAAACAGAGATTTGCCACTGAAATATTTGTTATGGCTTTGTGACTCTGCATTAC